CAGAGCCCACGAAGAAAAGACCTGACCTGAGGAGAGAAGACCTGAGGTGAGATTTCTGTTTCAGCCATCTGCTTCCTGGTCCTTGAAAGGACAGAAAGGACCTTCCATGGCCCACCGCCACCGCCACCGCCAGCCGCCGGTTCCGAACCCTTCGACGCGTGCCGCGTTCGCCTCGCCGACTCGCCGCGGGACGCCCCAAGTGAGGGAGCCGTTCGGCGGCCAAAGGCCAAAGGCTGTCGGGAACATGAACACATGCACTTGCCACAGGCTAGACCTGCCAAGGCCAAAGAGAAAGAAAGACAGAAAGAAAGAAAGGAAGGAACATCGTAGAGTACAAACCCCTTTCAAAAAAACACACATATCTAGTGCTTTGGGATGACCCGCCAAAATGGAATGGTGTGGCGAAAGGAATTCGAAGAGAAAAAAAAAACACCCAACCAACTCCACGGCCCCACGAGAACCGCCACCTTGGCAAAAGCCATGGCAACACCCTCTTGGGGGGAAGGTGAATGTGAATGGAGCTTTTCATGAATGTTGACCATGTCTTTTCGTGCATGAATGTGACAAAGCAACAAGCTGGCGGGAAAGCCCGTTGGTTCCATCGTTTTCCCAATCGGAGTGGGTCGGTCCGCCTCTCTTTTGACAGTCTTTTCAACGTTTGGGACACCCCCGGGTCCATGTGACACAGACGCTCCCGGTCCACGTAGCTCCTTTGTCGCATGGTCCTTCCGTGTATCGACTCCGCTTCCCCCCCCCGTCCGGGTGCCCCCCACGGATGGAGGGCCGTCACCTGTGGCGATGTGGCGAACGACCCGGAAACGGACCTCAACGTCCTCGAAGCAATACGTCCGTTTGGGCTTCGGGATCCGACTCAAGGAGGTTCAACCAGAGCTCTCCACCGGGGTCGGGGTCGGCGCCAGGCGGGCGAACCGGTGGAGAGACCAGTCGTAGGATTTATCCAGAGCGATTCCAGGCAAATGCATGTCTTCCATCAAAAGACTTGCAACAAGAACATACAAAACCGCTTCCCCACAGGATGAGTGCCGGACTTCTCAACAAAACTAGATACGGACGCTCTGCCCCCTCTCCAAAAACTAGATACTGAACAACCCGCCCTGCCCCGATCGCTTGGATCGGCGTCCGTTCCCGGACCAGGACTCCCCAGCCGGTTTGTAGGTCCACCCGGCCGTCGCTTGGATCCGCGCCAGGTCCTGGAGCGCCCGCAGCCACGGTCGGCGGCTCGAAGGGCGAAGAACAAGGACGAAGACGAAAAAAGGAGAACCATGAGAGACCATGATGATACCATGAGCCGTTTCTTGTTTTTCATGTTCTTTTGGTGCGACATCTCCGCCAGGGTCGTTTAACTTTTTGGTGTCCGGAACCCGATCCTTGCGGCCTCGATCAACCTGCTCTGCCCGAATTGGGTGTCAGGGGGATCATCGGGGAATCTGATTTTCTGGAGCTCTGCCGCACTCTGCCTACAGGCAGGCTTAGCTGTTCCCTCCATCTTGACGACATATCTTGAATACTCGCCGGAGACGTCTTGAATCAGCCATCCTCTTTTTTGGGAGGAGGTTTTATGAATCAACATTCAATGAACCCTGGAAGTCCAAGACCCCTCAAAAATGGTTGCTCCCGATAGGATTGCATATATAATAGGGGATAATATATGATAATAATATATAGTAATATCAATGGTTGCTATGACTTCTATAGGATTAATATCAAATTACATATCCCTCCTAACATGCTCTGCTCGCGCTGCTCTCCCTCATGTGCTTCTCAAATTGCGAGATCAGATTGAACTCCGCGGGCAATCGAACGGGGCTCACCTCGGATGGAGGGATCCCTCGTCTTCCGGGCGCAAGGACGACGTGGCGAGAGAAGAAATGGCGGGAGCCGCCACGTTGGGGGTCAGGGGCCATGAGAAGTCTACCTGGAAAGACCCCAAACCTTGGGACCATCCGATTCGGGGCGTCGTCAGGGGTTCCGAAGTTCGTTCGGCTGTCCCATCGATCGATGTCACCAACCGGTCGAGTGGATGGATGCCTTTTGGGCGTCCGGGCCATCATGGCGGAAGGCAGTGAAGCCAACTTGCGCCACCTGGTGCCACAGCGACGCTTTTTTCAGGATGATTGGAGGTATACCCCTACCATATACCCCTAAAACAGCAACAATATGGATCAATATGGGGTATGTGCCAATTCATGATTTTTCAGGAGTGCAGTTCAGTCTACCCTGAGAGTCCAGTGAGTCATGACGAGAATGAACTACCCCGAACTGGTAGTGGTGGATGGATTGACTACCAGGTGAAGTACGTAACAAGAAACTACTAGGTTGGAGGCCATCGCTAGTAGGTTGGAGGCCATTACTACTATAGTAAAAAGAAGCTACTAGTTCATTTTCGTCAAGTCAAAGTCCAAGGGTCAAAGATCAGGACCATCCTGTGGTGCGGTGGAGGGGTCCGGGGTCACAGCCCACAGCCTACGCGGATGGTCCAGGTCTGTGATCTGATCGTCAGCTGCACTTCCGTGACGAACGACAAACATGAACTACTCCACCTGTCAATCCATCCACCAAAATGAGTCGTGACTGGACAGGACCTGGGGTTTACTTTCAGGCAAACGATCGAACTTGGACTGAATCCAGTGGGAGAAGAAGGTCCGCTCTGGACGGAACTCCCGCCAGAGCGAAGACACCCTATTCCAGAGGGATGAGGGACATTGTCTAAAGAAAGAACGAGATGAAAAAGGTCTAGAGATGAAGAGAGAACTCTTGTTCACAGTCCGGAGGGTGGGTCTCACCGCTTCATGAGTTGGAGTTCCAATCTCGGACGAAATCTAGGAGCGATCGGAAGCTACGAACGTCACCAAGGGCATCGCTACGAACGGAGCGATCGGACGCTACGAACGGGGCGCTCCTGGCACCGCTGCGAACGGAACAAGAAGACCGGAGTCAAGACCGGAACAACTCTTCACCGACGCAGTCTGGGCAGTCTTGGCAAACTGCCCTGCGCCTTGCTGCCTTGGCCTCCACTGTAGCATCAACTGCAGGTGTTTGGGTGTTGAAATCCTTAAAACGGTCATCTTCCAACACGTGACGTGGTGGCTCACGTCGTGGCTCACATAGCCTAGTCCTTTATAAAGCTACTGATCATTGGCCTAGGCCTGTAGCTTTCTCTCTGCAACGTGGAGCTTGACCCCCCCTGCTTGAGGCATCAGGCCCCAGGTACCCCCTCCCTCTTTTCCTCTCACAGCCCGATTTTCCCATACTCGAGGCCGCGAAGTATCGGGACGAAGTCGAAGTGATGACCCCCCCCTCCTTACAATCATCCAGCCACAATAAGAAAAACACAGACATGAATCTACACGTGTCTACACAGAAACAAGAGCTCCACCCAAGTTTTTGCACAAATTCAACATCTCCGACACTAAACAGCTCTTAGCGGCTCTTAGGACGTTTAACTCACTTCGAAGAGATGGCCTTTGTTTTCTTCCATCCTCCAGTCCTTCAGTCTGCCGGTGCTGTCCGTGGCCTTGCGGCTTCGGACTGGGCATCCAGTCCCAGCTGTACCAGCACGTAGCCCTGGTCACGGGAGCGCAGAGCTTTCTGGAGCTCTGAGGTTGGAAGAGATCACCAGGTTTCTGTAACCTCCAAGAAAACCCGCTTCATCTAGAGCTCAAGCTACCAAAAACAACCATTCTTGGTGCATGGTGAGACCTCATCTTCTGAATCCCCGAGTCCCAAAGTCCTTTACAGCACACTCATCCTCATGTAGAACAGACTTATGAAATCCTCTTTTATGACCCCTGTCCGAACTCTGCCAAGCAAGAAAGAAAGGTCGTCTTTGGTCTATTTTGGAACCCCTTTGGTCTATTCCACGTTTCATCGAACGATCGTCCCAACAATCCACCGGTCTTTTGTCATTCTTGTGATCCTTTCATCTCCACGTTCCGCGCTTCCCTTCTTCAGCAACAGAGGTTGAATGACCCTAGTTCGACTATCCCAGTTGGGTACCCCAGGTTACGGTCCTAGTTCAGGTCACTGGCTACCTCTGTTGGCAGCACCTCTCGCCTCTTCTTTGATCACTTGACGTGGTCGACTGCCACACACGAACTCCACGTAGGCCCCCGCATCCTGAACACGACACGACACGAAGAGGTGTCCGCTGCGCAGCCTTCGCCGTCGTGACCTTTTGGGCGACACGAGCCACGTCATCCCCATGCGATGACTGAACTGAAGAAATGAACCACCCTAAGAATCCTTGGACCCTCTGAACTGGAGGGTGACCCTGCAGGTTCCGCAGGGGGCCCTTGGACCCGAACCAAACCTTGGGTTTTTTGGGACACCCCGAATCACCTCTTTTTTGAGGCTTGTGATGGACACCTCCTGTGTTCGGGTGCTGGTAGGAAACATGTGGGCTTGTATTGGAATAGGGAAGCCCTCTACCAAGGAGATGTAGATAGGTCTGGGAATGTCTGGGGCTAGTTCCCGAACCGTCCACGGGGTTGCCGGCGGTTCGGTCTCCCCATTTTAATACACACGCATATGAAAACCCCTCACCCCCCAAAAAACCAAACCCCACCAAACCTATTTAAACACCGATTTTAGTAAACCTTCACCCCCCACCCTCCACCGGTTTGAGAAGATCCGGTTCCACGGCGTTGAGACGTCTTCGGCCCACCGACGGTCGGCCCATGCTGGAAGTGGATTGCACTACCGTCCTTCACAAAGACTACCGGGTGTCTTCCACGTTCTGTCTGGGTGAGTGGGAGTGTCTTCTTTTTTACGGGGCACAAGAAGATCGAAGATCGCAGCTGAAGCCTTGAAGCCAGCCCAGAGTGGGACGAAAACTTCTGGAAGGTCAGAAACGCTTCGACTCAAGCGTCCATGGTTGTTGTTCTCCCAAGTCTCCGTTGCCTCAACTAGCCCTACACCCCTTCAGCATTGATATCTTGCTAGAGAGTAGAGTAATTATGATTGCCAGAGTTTGACATTTCCTGGGGTTGCGCATGCGCCATCTTGACCTTCCATTAAAAAGAGGGGAACTCTGAACAAGCAAGGGTTCCTTACCCGGTTGCAAGCTCAAAGATCCTCAGTAACCTCGGATTGAATGCGTCACAAGAGGTGCTCATGACAGAAAAGAAAGCAGGTGAAACATGGCAAAATGTGCTTCAGTTCGCAGGCGGAAGCGGTGCCGTGCTTCGCGAAGAAGCGGTTCCGCAGTGAACCCGACGAGCTAGAAGGCATTCTCTTTGCCGGACTGGTGCCTCAAGCCTAGGGATTTGAAGATCCTTGTAGAACTCAATGAGGGTCCCCTCCATAGGTTGAAGAGTCCAGCGTGGCATCGCATTCTTCGGGTCTATTCCTCTTCTTCCGCTCTGCCCACGCGTTCTCTGAAGAGCCTGGGATGCCTCACAGCCAATGCCGCAAAGCGCGCCACCCGCCGGGTGTTCGCCAGATGGTCCTCACGCCCGGGAGGAAGGGGCTGATGGCGAGGAGCTGGCTGCTTCGGGATCTCGCAGGACTTGTAGATGGCCAAGTCGGAATCATCCTGGGATTTTGGCGGCGCCCAAGCTGGACAAAAGTAAAGCATAGTAACACATAGCTAGAAATGGATTTAACCATTATATGGGACACATAAAAAAACTCGCCTTCATGAAGCAAAACCAGGCATCCAAGTCAAGTTGGTCCTCTTCTTGGATCTGCAGATCGATCTTGAACAATCGAAGTACTTCGCGTTCAGAAGCTGCGGAGGCTGAAAGAGGTCGGGGCTCCGGTTGGCATTGAGTGTCCCGGTCAGAGCTCCGGTCTGTGGTGCATGCAGCTTCATCACAAGGACATACCCTTGAGAAGTCTGTGTTCGTCTGAACACTAGCTGCGCAGCCCATGGCACGCACTGAGCACACTGAAAATTTCAGGTATCACGACGTTAAGTCACTAGCAGTGCCCGTCGTGCCTCATGAACAAAAACGCCGGAGCTCATTTGAGCCCAAACCGTGCAGAACAAACCGACGCTTCTCGTCCAACACCGCGGAAACCGTGCAAAACCGTGTACCGTCGCCGCTCCCCACGCCGAAGCGGCTTAGCGCAACAACGTCCAGAGTCTGTGCCGTTCCGAACCTCACTGAGCGGACGGGATCAGCAAGCACCTCCAAAATGTTCCAACTTCCCAACACAGGGGTTTCCTTCTGTCTGGGTTCTAGGTGAATGGTGAAACCCCACAGAAACCTCCGGAAACCGCTCTGAACCTCGCGACACCTCGACTCGACTGAGAAGACCCGTGACAGCGGACGCTCCTCCACGGCTCCTTTGGCAAAGACCATGGTCCTCAGAAACGAACGACACGTGCACAACAGAAAGCAAGAGAGGACAACTTCAATGACCTGAACTAGGACCGTAACCTGGGGTACCCAACTGGGATAGTCGAACAGTCGGCTTCTGACCCACCTCTGGGAGTTCACGTGCGAAGACGTACATCCGTAAAGGAACGGTCTTGGCGACCAGACGACGGAAGACGATCGCGGCGTGGTGAACTCAGGTTCCGGTCTCGTCCGTGTCCGCGCGGTGTCCAGCGGTGTGGCTGGAGCCCTCAGCCCTTGAGAGTTTTGACTCGTGAACTACCCCAGCCTGGTGGTGGATGGAGTGACCACCAGGTGGAGTAGTTCACGTTCGTCGTTCGTCACGGTGTCGGTCTGGGTACACTTCACACGTTGCGTCGACCAATCGAAGGCGACACGATGCTCGACCTCCAAACGATCGCCAGTGCAAGCGGTCGTGGTCTTTTGAAGGGGCCTTGGAACTACCAGGTGCGTCAAAAGTGGAACCCACTGCGCTCAGGGCTCCCCTTAATGGCGCCTTCTCATGGCGGCCACTCCTACACCAGGTCTGGCGGCCCCAGTTCTGGGCCGCATGGCTCGCGCTCGGAGAGGTGGTGTTTCTTCATCAACTTCTGCAAGACCTGACGACGAAGAAGGGTCTTGAGGAAGAAGCCACCCCGGACTCATGCGTTTTCTCTTTTGTGTGGATATGGAAGATTGGGAGGAAGGGGGAGGGTTTTGAGTTTAAGAACGATCTATAGTCCAAGGATGTTCCTAAGAGGACTACAGGAACGACTGCAGAAGCACAAGAAACCTCGGTCAAGCATCCGTGTCTGCCCGATAGAGGGCAAGCAAAGCCGAGTCTGAAAAATCCTGGAGTTCCTCTGGTCCCCATCTTTGCAAGCATCATGTCAGGCCCAAACCAGACTGCAAGAGTTACATCACCTTCCGTTTGTCCGGTGGTCTTTTGGACACCCGAATCACCTCGAATCGATGCTAACTTTGTATAGACACCTCTTGGAACGTCCTGGTAATACAATACTAATGAACATGTTACTAAACATATGTGCAGACTGGATCCCGGGTCTCCTCCTTTCCCACTTGGAACCGGCAAGAACGGCGTTCGGGCTCTCTAGCAACACATCGATTTGGCCTTGGAGGATGCAAGAACTGATGCAAGAAAAAGCCCAAAGAAACAGATACTTCCCCCGGCAGTCACCAGGTTAGGGGTGCTATCCATGGAGCGAGCGTTGGGGTGCTACACCACATCCACTGGATGGGACGAGCCACACTGACGGTGATCAACCGACAGGATCCCGGTGTGAGACGGCATTTCCAGTGTGAGGTCTAACAACTAGCAATTTCTCACACCGGTGTGTCCACAACAGAACTACCCCATTTGGGGGGTGTGTCCACACCGTGGTGCCCGGGGGAACCAAAAACCACCACCAGCCAACGACGCGGTTCGATCTCCCGACAGACCGACCCACTCCCCCCCCCCTCGCAGGCCTCGAATCCTTCGAGCTGCTTCTTCGCCACCCTCGGAAGCCGGCGAACGGAACTCTGCGCGGAACGGAACAGGTCGATGGGCGAAGGTCGAAGGAGTGACTTAGGGCGAAGGTCGATGGTTTCCAAAAGCTCACAACATCTTCCCCTATGGGCAGAAAACAAGGGATGCACATGGCGTGCAGAAACAAGAATCATCACCCGACTTCGACAGACACGCCATCGACACGTGCATTTTCTTTGTTGGTATGGCTCCTTTTGGGGGGGGCGAACGACGTGCAACGTCCGTGCACCGTGCACCGTCGCGTGCGAAGCGAGCGGGAGAGCTGGACACCGGCGGAGCCACCGGTCAATGGCGGAGCTTCGCGCTCCCCAGCCTGCACCGAGGTTTGGTAGCTTCCTAGCTCCCGCCCTAGCTCCAAAAAGCCCCAAACACCCCTGGTTCGTCGCGGACAACTAAGCCTCCGTTCGTCGCGAGGCCGTGCTCGACGGGACGTGAGACCGGCTTCGACCGGCCGCGGACCGTTCGTCGGCCGCTGTCCGAGGGACGTTCCGTTCAAGTCGAGCTCCTTCTTCACGACGCCATAGGCACCTGCCGAGTGGAGAAGAGGTGTCCCGTTCGCCAGACCGGAAATGACCATTTAAAAGAGAAGGGGAATGACCTGGTGGTGTAGTGTTGGTCGAATAACAATGGCTCTTAAGGCTCTTAGTTATACAAAACTACCGTTATACTACACCTGGCGGTGTATTGCGAAGATCCTTTAATTTGACAATGGCTCTTTAGAAGGGAAAGACCCTTATATAACAAATGCTTGAGCCACGACTCCTGGGTCTTGGGCTGCCCCAAGACCCACCCCTCGACCGCCCGGCTTACCGCCGGCTTCCCGTTGGATGATGGACCATAGACCTGTCAACATATTACACCATTTTATTGGACATTCCCACCAATAAAACTCAATAGGCTGGAGCGGACAAATACTAACCCATACTAACCTCATTTTTGAAACAAATCAGATTACATGGATTTATACCTTGTACCGCCCAAAAACCAATCCGTCGGTCATCGTCTGTTTCTTCGGGATTGAACCCATGAATGGCCAAGCTTCGCCACAATGACATCGGCCCAGTGACACGTCCGACGGTTCGCTTCGCCTCGCCTCTGGGTGAAGTTCCCAGAACAGCTACAGTCCAACTTGACGCACAACCACCAAAAAGGACACAAGAACGACCTGTGCAGCTTTTGGACCAGAAGAACGACCTCTCCGAACCACGCTGGCGCTCGCGCAAGAAACTTCCCCCTACCCCCCCTGTCCGGCTAGAAACACATGGCGCTTCGTTTGTCGCGAAACGGCCTAGGAGGAGTTGGTCGGAGAAGGCGGCCGCCAGGAGCGCTTTCAAGTAGCCCGTGTCCTTATGGAAGGCCTGACCGGACGAACCGCGACGAACCGCGGGCGCGCACGCTCCCATCGCGACGAGTCGAGCGGAGCGAGCGGACGCTTTAGTCAACACGGGGACACGGGTGATGTAGTTCACTCGAACTCTTTCGACGTCCGATTGGTGCTTCGAGGAGTGCCGGGTGGGGGAGGAAGAGGCAGAAACACCATGAAACCGCAGGATTCGCCCCACACTGCTTGGGGGAACCTTCCCTGCCAAACGATTTCGGGTCTCGGGTCTCGGCTGGGCCGCAAAACGGCGAACAACGGAGAAGCCTTTCTTGAAGAAACCTCCACACGGCGCCACCCTGCTGGTGGCATCCATTCAAACCCGTACCTACGTAGCGCTGCTTCCTGTCTCGGGTGTCCTGGTGACCAAGCCTCAGCATCGAAGGGTTGTCCAGCCAGGTAACCAAGGAAGCAGCTGGTATACATCCGGTGGACGTCCGTGCCATACATTGATCCCACTTCGCTTCGAATCCCGGGACCAGGTGAGGGAACGGTTCAGGTCTTGGAAGCACCAAAGTATTGGTCCAGGTATTGGTATGGTGAGTCAAAGACTATAAAAAGAATGGTCTTTAAGGGACCTGAGTCAGGGAACTTCCTTTACTTCAGCCGGTCAAAATATAGTCGAACTGGACTTCTAGGGTATTGGTATGGTGAGTTTTTCTTCGGGTTTCTTCACCCGCCATCACTCCTCCCGCCATCTTCGCAGAGCCAAACGCCTGCTCATCAGGTTCAAAGGCGCGCCAGTCCTGCGTGCGAGACAGACGAGTCTCAATCTCCCAAAAAGCACAATGGAATGGTGAACCGCCCAAAAGGGGAAGGAAAACACTATTGGCATCTATATAGGCCTATAGATATTGTTCGTGGCCCAACCATCTGTTGTTCATGGTCTTTTCATTCCGAAGCATTGTTGATACGGATTTATACACTGCACCACCACCAGGTCATTCCCATCTTTTTTTAAATGGTTATTCCCGGTCTGGCGAACGGGAAGTCAACCAAGGAAGGGTATTTGATTGTTTCAGTGCCCGGTGGATGGGTTCAATTCTTGCATGCCTTTCCCTCTACAGGTTTCCGATGGTCCGGTCTGACGCAGACAGGCCCGACAGCCATCGGTTTCGAGGAAGTGCGACAGGTGCCCCGTATACGGTAGCTCCAAGAGAGGTTAAGTGACCTTATAGGGCCTTACTGGGGTACCCAACTGGGATAGTCGAACTAGGGTTCTTCAACCTCTGTTGGCTCATCTGCGGATCTCATGAACAAACAACAAGTTCCTCCCGTCTGAGGCCGACCCAGCTCGCAGGGGGTCTTCGTCACCCGGCCGCAGGGGGTCTTCGTCAACCCGTCTTCACAGCCGGATCTCGAGAAAGTCATGACAGCCTATACCAGGGCCCCCGGGCCAGGGGTGTCCAATTATAGCTCCTTAGGGGTTCGGGGACGTCCATTAAGCACCCCAAACAGGGGGCCCCGGTAGAAGGTGCAGTTCGACGGTATTTTGACTCGTTGAAGTAAAGGAAGTCCCTGAACTCGGGTCACCTATACAGCTCATTTGATGAACAATCTTGGACTCTCAGGGGTATACGCATAGAGCCTCAATCTACCGCCTCACCCAGGTCTTCTGTCACATCCATGCCGGTGACCCGCTGTTGCTCAAGGCGCTTCTTTTTCGGTGTCCTTCCACGGGATTCCTGCGAGGTCGCCCTTCTTGATGCTGTAGCCCAAACCGAAGAGCAACCTGCACGGGTGGACGGATGTGTCTGTTAGCCCTGCCGTTCCCCAGGAGGACGACCGATGAAAAGCCCATGCAGAGCGAAACCAGATGCGGCTTAGCCCAAAGCTGATGCAGCGTTTGTTCTTCTTCAGTTGAACGTCCAGTTTTTTTGAACCAAGACACCCAGGACAGATGCAGCGCGCTCCTGTTCTCGACCCGACTCTGCGCGCTCCACCACTGGGCTTTCGTACTTTTGCAAACCCTTGGCAGCCAAGGAGTTGGGCATGCAGGCACGGTAGGTGCGGAGCCTGAGCGGAATCGGTGCCGCCTTGCCGCCTGGCGCACGGGCCATGGGGGTCCGTTCACACGGGCCTTTGGGACAAAGCTCTTAGACCGGGTGGTGCCCTGTGGACCGACCAACATCGCTGTTTGTTGGGCACTCATCGTTTATTCTTCGGCATTTGCAGAGGTTGAAGAACCCGACTATTCGACTATCCTATAGGTACCCCTGTAGGGTCCTATAAGGTCACTCAACCTCTGTTGGTTTTCGGAAGGAAGGGGAGATGGAGGACTCTCTCTCTCTCTCTCTTTTTCTACGTATCTCTCATCCATCTCCCTAGAACCCACTCATGACGCCTCCAGGACCCTTGACCCCTTGGGGTGGTTGCGGTGATCCACCGCTTGCGGTCACTCACTCGGGGTTGGGTGAAACGGCTCGTCCCTGATCCCCAAAGGCCATGGCGGCCGCACGCCCGTCTCCGTCTTCCAAGCCCTCCCACGACAGGTCCACCACGCAGGACACCACGTGGTCCATCCTGCCGAGATCGGTTGGACCCTGTGACATCCCTGCGCCATCCCTGCGACGGCTCGAGGTGGTTGGGCAGCTTTTAAGGCCGGATTCCAACTTGGACACGTGGGTTTGACCACTGGTTTGACCCCAAGCAACGTGTTCATTTCGGATGTTCGAGTAGCAAGACCCAGGTCCAATAGCTGCTGTTTCGGTGTCGGAAGAAGGAAGATAAGCTGGGGCCATCCACGAAACCTGGCCGCTTCCACACGTCAGCGGTGCTTGGAATCTATCATAAATTGGAGGATGAGTGATGGAAATCCTCTATTTGAATCTGGCACAACTTGTTCAATTATTGTTCTGTGTTTTTCCCGCTCTATTTTCATTGGAGGTTGCATCCCAATTCTCCCCCTGGACCTCCTCCGACCTTTGAGCGGATGTGGACCGAGACGACCGAGACGCCGGGGTGACCGAGAGCACCGCTCCGCTCCGTTCGACTGGTGCCTCCAAACTCAGGGAGATTGGTGAGAACCGTCCCTGACCCGAAAATTCGTTCTTTTTTTGCATCTCCATTGGGATTCGGGTATGATTTTTGGGGGGGTCGCGTCTGGGTGTTGGGATTGTGAGGACACCAATCCCCCAGAAAAAAGATCAAACAAGGGGTTTGGGCAGGTGATTCCAGAGCTCTTCTACAGGCAGTCAGGCTAAAGGGTTTTTTGTTGCAGATGGTCGTATCTGAACATGAGCATCACCCCAAGGGGCTTCAGGCTCTTTTTAGTCCAGAAAACACAGGGGCACAAGGTACGCCGTCTCAGGTTGCCTACAAGGTTGCCGATGATGATCAGGTCATCCATGGTCATCAATGTGGTGTCAGAATGCTCATGTGGTCAACGATCCCGCGCCTCTTTCCGACACCACATATCTTCAATCATTTTCACCTACCACGTCCCACGTCCCGCTCCGGTCGTGCTCCGGTGCTCCGGCCGTGCTCGAGCTAAGGCGGCGCGACGCGCACGCGCGCACGTTTTAGGTCCACTCGCGGAATCTCCCGCGGCTCTTCCGGCGCCATGCTGTGCCACCATGGCCAAAAGAGGGAGATTCTGGTTGTGGCGTTGCCGCCGACTCGACCTCCAAAATGGGTCACGGAAAGTCACTGGACACAGTCCTCACTTTCACTCCACTTCACTCACTCGCCTCAGTTCTTTCTCGCGCATAGCGTTGGGGAAGCCAGAAGTGGCTCCCCTGAGCCTTCTCAGTTCGACTCGTTCACCACGGCATTTCGCAGCTTGCCGGCCGCTTCTGTGTGGCCGTCTGTGTTGGGCTCCCGCTGTCGGTTCTGGTCACTGCAGCTGCCCAGTGGGGACCAACGAGTCGAGTGCACCGTCAGAGTCTTCAGATCCTTTCCGCGACTTCCTTCGTGTCGTGATGGAGAACACTGAACACCAACGAGTCGAGTGGCACTCCTTCGCACAGTTCACGGCCTACTGGCACGGCCCTTCACCCGACCGCTGGACGGTCGCGCTGCCGCCGCTCCGCGCCGCGCGCGCGGCGCAGGAAGTCCGTGGCGCCGCGGAAGAGCGTCCGGCGCCGGCGCGGGCGCCAGGCGTGGTGAAAGGCGTCCAGCACCACCCAACGTGCGTGGAGCTTCGCCGAGGGGGCATCTGAGACACCTCAACAGCACCCTCCACCAATGAAAGCCCACACACTATTTGAGAGATCTCCATTGGCCCCTTGAAAGGTCCAGCCCAGACGTGACCCTGGGCCCTCATATAGAGGGGTCTGGGGTCTCAAATCCATAGGCTTTGAGGGACCAAGGGCTGTTTGGAGCGTTTGGGAGGAACGTTTTCCTGATGTTGATAGGAATCTAAGAGCACAGTAAGAAAGCAAGAAGTGCTACCACTGGTGACACCGGTTGGGGTTCTGAGGCACTTGCGTGGGTGTGGTGTGTATTGGGTAAGTCATCCAAACTTCCATCCTCTCAAACAAAACGTAGAATAACTTCTATATAGGTAAGAGGCATGCCTTTCGAATGAAATCCTTCAAAAATCAGTTGTTTCCACCTTCGAAACCGAGAAATCGTCTGCATCTGTGAACCCAAAGGGTTTTTCAGCACAGCACAGCACCGAGATGGCACCGAGATGGAGTGCTGAACATTCCGGAAACGAATCCCTTTCCGTCCAACGTCCGTTTCTGACCATGAAAAAGGAAGGGAACGACTCCTGGGTTTTGGTGGTGCTTAAAGCATAAAGCAATGATGGTTCGGGATGACCCACCTATTAAATGGTGGGCCCAGGAAGCCCAGGGTTTCTGTTTGGAGATCATGGGTTTTCCCGTGGTTCCAGGCAAACCACGAGCAAACCCGACAGACCGAACGAGAAAAACCGGGTTCCATCTGGTTCCACTTCTGGTTCCGTTGCCAGATCTTCTTCCAATCGGGCTCACACAACTCTGCGGCCTGCTGCGCTGGTCTTTTTGTGCAGCAAACTTGCGGAAGACGAGTCATAGCACTTTGAACATCAATCAAAGATTCTGAACCCAGCAATTACCTCCCCTGGATTGACACTATACGTGACAAATAGTTACGTATGGCATAGTAGTAGCTGTACATCAACAATCGCACAACTTCCTGGTGGCCGTTCCGCGCTGCCATGCGCAAGCTGTTGCCTCATGTGCATCTGCTGCACCTGTGTCAGCTCCTGCCTCGAGCAACAATCAAACAACGTCCTGGTGGCCATAATAAGCTGCAGTAATCAAAGCCGTCCCAACAAATGTTGCTGCATCTTGGTCCGCCCCAGCATCAAGCAGCAATCGTAGAAGTTCTAACTGGTTGCACCATTTACATCTGCTGCACCTGCGTCAGCTCTTGTCTCGAGCAACAATCGCACAACTTCCAAGTGACCTTCCTCGGCAGCAATAAGAAGCAAACCTTCCCCGTTGGGGTCCAGTGGTTATTAAAGCAGCCTTTCAAGGTTATCCACGCGATTCTCCCTGCAGGTCTCGAATAGTTTTTCTTCCATGGTCTCATCAGGGGCACACAAGGCACACAAGGGCAGAATTACCACCCGTACACTTGATAGTGTTCGTACAGGCAAGTCATCCTCCAATTCGCCAATCTCGTCCCTGAAGAGTCTTTGCTGAAACCTTGAGCACCCAACCTGAGCTGAAAGACGTCGCTTGAGGTCTCGAACAGCTTGCCCGCTTTCCACCATGTAATGCAGCTCATCCTCATCAAGCTGAGCAACCACGTTGCCAGACACAGCCGTAACCTGCATCTCTGCGGTTTCAGAAGCGGGGGGCGGGGGCATTATTCGCTGGAGCCACAGAGCCACAGTGAAACATAAAGCTAAACTGATGTGACTGAGATTTCCTACTTCCAAGTACTCCATGCGTCCCTCGTATCTGCCTCCTTCAGCTTCCTTGGAAGATACAGGTTAACCATGGTTAAGCTTTTTTTGCACGTTTTTGTTTAGTGGGGTGCCACCACTCCCCAAAAAAGGTTGGGCAGGTTGTTCACTTGAACCCTGCGTATGTGTCCTAATCGGGTCACAAGATTTGGCCTAATCGGGACTCAATCAAGTGACGTGATACGAAAACGTCTCGCTCTCTTTGGGAGACGAACAAGAAAGCCTTGCTGTGGCTTTCAGGATATGATCCTCGACACGGTGATGGTTCACCTTCCAAAAGCCCATCAAACATAGCCCATCAATCACCTACAAGAAGCAGGAAACACCGATCGGCACCCCAGATCAATCGTTTCACATCCAACGTTTGACCCCAAGACCGTTGGACCAACGGGTGCCCTTTTCATCCCTTTTCCAAATATGAACACCCACCCACTCCCTTTTGGGAATCCAAGTTCATCTGCAGCAGGGCAACACCCATCCACCAAAATTCCTTCAATCCCACTCTCCCTCAACCTTTGCACCTTCCTTGCGTGCAACAAACAAACAATGAACATCACACAAGAAAAACACACCCAAAACACCCAACACGCAAGGGTTTGCAGTGGTGTTCTTCCCCTCCCAAACTCCTTGCTGCCGCGCCGCTGTCTCGCACCACCTCTGCCCGCTGCGCGGCGTAGCGCACCAGGCGCTTCGTTTGCCGCGTTACGTAGCTCGGCGTCACGTGCGGCAAGCGTCGTGGAGCGCCCTGCGTCAAGAGCCACGCGAAGCGCCAGGCGATGCAGCGCGTGAGGCGCGCGAGGCTGCTCTGCACGCAGGCGTCGCCTGCAGCGGATGAGGGGCGTGGAGGGGTTGTTTGGTGGGGAGGGATGAGGGTTTTGGTGGTCATGAAGTGTTTCTTTTGAGGGAACAAACAACAGTAACAGACTGACATTGAAAGCCAAAGTGAAGTTGCCAACTAAGAACACTTAATGCATCTTGACCATCTTGATGCTCATACTCTTCGATGATCTTCGACATGTCTTTAGAGGGAACTTGAGATAGAGATGTTCTCACCCCAAGTGACTGATGACACCTCCAATCATCCTGTTCAAGCGGTTCAAATAAGTCCACCCAACCCAACTGTTTGCTTTCTGAGTGACTGTTCAGCCGCGGATCCAGCAGTAGCGGAGTCAGCTTCCTCGGATGGAACTGGGGACCGAACGTCTCCTCATATCCTCAGTTTTTCCTGGAACCCCCGGTGCCCAACAGAAACAAGTCTGGATGTCTTCTCCAGTCCTGCCCGCTTTAAAGGATCTCAAGTGCCACATTGCAACGATTTGTTTCTGATTGATCCAAGTCTCATCTTCAGGAAGATCAGCAACTTGCTTCGGATCGTGTTTTCCCACACGCGGCCGAGACCCTCGCGCCCGCCCGCCACCTTCCTCACCTTCCGCACCGCCAGCGCGTCGCACACGCGCCGCTGAGTGTTCTGGCGCAGGTTGATCAAGCCATGCTCCGGGGTAAGGGTCAAACCTGCCCAAGGTACCTGGGCAACATGTAAGGCCACGGGTAGAGACCCATAGAAAAACATGAGTGTTCCCTCTTCTTCTTCTTGGCTGGAGGCCATCGCTAGGTTGGAGGCCATCGTCTTCTTCGTCTTCTTCTTCTTCATACAGAAATATAAATACAACCTTTTAACCTGAGTTTGGTATTGACACCTATCCTGAATCATCAATTACCCCAAACATGGCTGTTTCCTATCAAAGCAAAGGCCAAATAATGGGCCGTATATGTTTTTATGTTTCGTAATGTTTCGTCTCAAAAAAAGGTCATGCCATATGTGTTCATTCTATTTACGCACATAAAACTACTGAGGCTCCTTGACTTTCTGATACATTTTTTTGGGCAGGGACCCCTCTCAAAACGCTGGAGTTTCTCGCTCCAGTGGCTTCCACCGATCGCGGGGTCGCGAGGGCGGCGTCCACTCGACGTCGCTTCGGACCTGGCGCGAAAGCATGGGGTCCAAGAACAGTAGGGTCCGGACACGCACCATCGACACCGGACACGCAAGTGCAGGAGGGTGAACTCATGAGGACACCAGGTGCAGGAGGGTGCAGGAGGGTGACACCAGGTGCACTTCCATGTGACTTGGGAGGGATGAAATTCTCTGCAAGTCAGGCCGCCTGACGACCGTGACGGCGCCTTGCATACGGATGCGAGGCATCGTGGTTTCAGGAGGGGGAAACGGTTCTTCCACACGTTCTTCGCTTGTAGTATTGGACATGGTTGTGAGTTGCAACAAATGCCAAATGCCCCCAAATGACCCAACGTTCTGCCATACTTGCGTGTACATGGTGTTTGGGTAAGACCGGTTGAAATCGCATGAACTTGGTAATTCCTGGCACAACATCTGCCTCAGAACCTGCCTCATGCTGCAAATCTGGGACAACCGTATAATGTAGGAACTGGAACCCGTGACAGATTCCGGCGCTTCGTGCGGTTCAGGTGTTGGTCTCCAACCTGGAGCGACCCGCCCGAAGAACCCACCGACCGGGGCAGACGCACCGCGCGGATCAGACGCGCCTGCTGCGCGGAAGCGCGGGCGTCCGTCGGTGTTGGGGTGGTCGAGGAGCCGGAAGTTGGCCGCGACCTTGCGGCGGTTCAGGTCGCCGCCGTAGGGATTGCCGGGCTGCGCCAGGCAGGAGAGGAAGTCCTCGAGCGGAGCAGGGATGGTGGAATCCGGGGGCGGCTTGCAGGGAGGGGGAGGGGGTCCGGGGCATGAGGGATGGTTCAGTGGTGAATTTTGGAGTTTGATCCGTTATGGGTTATATCTTTCAAGATGGTGGGTGAAGCGTCCAAACTGCGACTGGTCTCAGAGGTCGCATCGAAGAGGTCCTCGAAATCAGAGTTGTGTTCCCTTTTCTTCATGGTTCACAGCAGGCACCTGTGGATACCGTTTTCCAGACCCCTGAAAAACCCATCCACAGCAGCCGAAACCCTCCAGCCGCTGTTGACCCTATGGATGGTTCCGCAGCAGGTTGATCTCTTCCACATTCCCAACAGAGATGTATATATGATGTCTCCATTTCACTTCACTGAGATTCACAGCATCTGGCTGCATCGGTGGAGATGAAGAGGAAGTCGTCCACCAAACGCACCAACGCACTTCGGTGAGATCGCAAGCTCTCCAGCACCTCTGCTGGTAGCTGCGCGTCGCCCGAACTCATGTGAAGCGCACCTGGGAGGCAGGCGATTTGGTGCGCTGCAGATCTCGGCGGATCGGGACATCGAAGTATACGCGATGCCGCATCCATCAAAAGCGTATACTGTCTGCGACTCCGAAGGCACACAAGAAGGGCGAAAAGTGACTGCCCTGTGGGATTCCACGTGTGAAGCGGTACCTGACATGGGCACGGCACACGTGGACCATGGAAGCTGCCGAACTCAAGGAAGAATTAGAGACGAACGTAAAGGGGGACGTGCAAAGCTTCAATCTCTGATTCCTTAGTGGTTTTTCTTGTTCCTGGACACCTAAACAATCAGAAACACATGGTTGTTCCGATTCCAATGTGACAATTGAGATCCTTTACCAAGAAGAAACACAAACGGTTCAAGTGCTTAAGATACCGAGTGGTTCATGAGACATCAGTGCTTCAGTGAGTTTTTCAAGCGATCTCTTTCCCCACATGTCGACCCATGTCATCACCCTCGCCCTTGCTCCAAGCCACTTCGGCGCGCACGACGCCGACGGATCTCGCTGCGTGTCCAGCTGGACCTCCGAGCTGCGCACGACGGACGTGAGGAGCCGCAGCACCTGGAGGACGACGCCGGTGGCGGCGACGCCGCGCACGACGGGCGGACTTTCTTCATCCTTCCCCCCCAAAAACAACGGTTTTCAACGCGAAAGGGTTCCAAATATTGATGTGAAACGTGGGAGAAAATTCATGGGTGTTGTCGCCGCGACAAGCCACAAGCCTTGGCGCTTTCGATGGAATCTGACTTGAGATATCCTCTTGAGAAACCAATCACGTCTGCCTGTTGCTCCCCCTTTCCTCAGGCGCAAGAACAATGGAAACTGGGGTCCACTGGACAATGCTCAAACTGTTGCTCCCCCTTCCCGACCTTCGGCATGACCGGCCACATTTTTTCCACCCTACACGTAGCTGCAACCCCTCACCTGCCCATCTCCCACACTCCAAGTGCTTCCACCTGCCTCCGTCTTTGACACTTCCAGCATGCCACTCGCACGCTGCGCAGCACAGCGTGGTGCCACCAGCAGCTCGTCTCGTTGCAAGGCCAGAGGGCATTGAGGTGATGCGGCCACCTGGCGGACGCCGGACGGTCCACGCCGGTGACCTCAGACGGGAGCTGGGGTCGGTGAAGGGAAAGAGACCATAGAAACCCATTGGCGGGGAGGGTCTTCCTCTCAAAATACACACCAGTTGCGGTTTTTGGGGAAACTCAGGTCAGATTTGGACCTGCATGACACTTCTGTTGTGTAGTGGACGAACATAGGGCATGCGCCCGCATCCGGAACCTAGACTTCTTCTGCCCTCAAAGCCGGCGTCGTTCGGCTCTCGTCCGTCTCTCGTCTGGCCGCCTCCTGCAGCGACGTCCCCTCCGGCAGGGCGAGGTCCCAGGCGCGCGGAAGCAGCGCGCCAGGCCGTTGCAAGGAGACGGGGACGATCCAATACCTCTGTCTCCGCGTGAGCGCCCGGAAAACGCCCGGGTCACGGAACGGACGGAACGGGTTCCGGCGGCGAGAAACGCCAAGGCGCATCGACGGTCTGACGGAGAAGATTCATTTGATTCGTTATTCTTGACAGATTGATGTAGTGTTGGCCATAGCCCAGCCTGAAGTCACCATGTGCCCGACTGGCCTTTTGGGTTGGCCTTTTGGAGCTTAAGAAGACGTAGACCCATCGGCAGGTGAATCACGTTACAGAGATTTTTCCGCTCCGAAGCCTGCGCGGTTCTGTGAAACCACGCTGACGGATGGTGATTGAGGAGGGACTTGAAAGGGCCCTTGCACTCAGGGTCCAGTCATGACTCATTTAAGTTCAGCCTGGCACGTGCTGGGGTATGACTTCATGTGTCAAGTCACGGAAGTTCTGGGTTGGAGCAGGACCAGGGTGGCCGCCAGGGGTACCCAACCCACTCCCGGAAGAGCCACTGCAAGCACGCTGAGTCGAGAAGAGAAATCGGCACATCAGCTTCTAAAACCAATCAACTATAGTAATCAAGCCATATAAAAAGAGTATATCACCCTACCCTACGCACCCAAGCCCTATAAATTTGCAGGGTCTCAATCGGAACCTTTGGTATTTTTGTGATATCAACAACACATCAGGTTTATTCTTGAAAGCTCGGGTCTTGTTTTTCTAGCCGGCCCACATACTCAAGCATATGCTCAGGCGATGCTTGTGGTGGCGACTCTTAGCTGCCGTTCACGTCACATGAGGGTTCCATCCAGAGTAGTCTAGGACCTACAGGTCAATGACCTCTTTTCACTGGACGTGGTCATAGTAAACGGATCTTTGGGCCTGAGATCATTGGCAATTGTAGAGCGAACTTGCTGGTTCAAGGACACAGCACCAGACATTGGGCATGCTTCTCGGAGGAGGACACCGGCGTGCTCAAGCATGCCAGACACGTTTCGGGCCAGCAGTGCGAGAGCTACATGATGAAGGTGGCACGTTTGAGGGTACTTGGCTCAACATTTTGCAGAGCTATGGTGCAGTGTGATTATCAATGCGCGGTGCACTTTATGTAAGGTTGAAGGTTGCAAAAAGCGTGTGCGGAGGACCAAGCTTATTTTTGCTTGATGCATGAACATGAGAAGGGCAGTGAACATGAGGAGAGTTTGCAGTTGGAGTGTCATCATGTTGCAGGATTCACATGGTGGCTGCGTGGAAGCGATGATCGGAGCAATGCAACAAAAAGTGTTCGGAGAGCGGGTGAGCAGTTAGGCAGTTTCAGTAGTCCATATAGAGATGTACCAGATAAACTAGTCTCCTGGGTGCGCAGGGGGTACATACCCTTACTATACCGGTTCACCAATTGATGGCACATCCAAACTCGAGAGATAAGATGGCAAACCAGGGGGAAAAATGTCCTAAATCAAAAAAAACTGGGGAAAAGTTGCAAAAAGGCACAAAAGGCGCCTGATCCCTTCGACCGGTTTGATGGCACATCAAAGCTCGGTAGTTAAGATGGCAAACCAGTGAAATATATGTTCAAAATGAAGAAAATCAAAAAACCCAGCAAACATTGCAAAAAAGGCAGCAACACGGTCTTTTTCCCACGGCTCTCACCTGCCACCCTATTATATATACTTCCCCTCTCCTGCGCTTCTCTTCCTCTTTCCTTTGTCTCTTATCCTCTACAGTCCCTCTTTCTTCCTGTATATCTGTCCTATTTCTGTTCCTTGCCTTGTTCTTTCCTCTCTTCTGGTTCCTCTTTCATTTGAACCTGCTATATCTTCTTCATTCGTTTTCTCCCCTCCCCCCTGACAGCCTCCCCTCTCATCACCTGGCATGTGCCATCTTA